TTGATTGATCCCAATGTCCAACATGCTACTCCCTCCGGGCTTACAATCATGTATGTTGATCCCATGGATGATTATGTTCGATACGTAATGTATGGTAATGCAAAGCCCTTCCGATATATGAACGCTCATGCCTTATCTGTCGATCGTCTTGTATAAGTTCATCACCAACTCTTCTGTCAATGTAATCACCATGTCTCTCTTGAATATGATCCATAATGGCTCGTCTTGGATCACATTATGTCTTAATGTTCTAGGTTTAGGGTTCATGGGATCATCTTCTCCCATATCCGTAACGACATAGATTCGACCGTTTTTACCGCCCATAGCGTTCTTTCCGAACCCGATTCTACAATCAGTTAACTTCTAACGGTTACGCTCCCAACTCGGGTCACACCTCCAACCATCATCAATGGGGTTCCCTGATCCAGTTAATAAGTAATCCAAGTTCCTCCGACAAGCATTAATACTCCTCCAAAACAAACACATAATAAAATGTCAGTCTTATAAACCTTACATAAAACCGAGATCCCGTATTTTATTGAATCTATACAGTAGCCTTACAAATATTAATTTATTAAGTACTAATTTATTAAGTATTATTTTAAAAAATATTAATTTATTAAGTACTAATTTATAGAGGTAACTATTTTTTTATTAGGTTTAATTAGAAAATAAGTGTACAAACTATATCGCTTTTTTCAAATAGGTGCCCAAACTTTTTTTTTATTCATCCAAGTGTCTAGCGTTACAATTGTTACCACTTTAGGTGTCTCGACCGTAACAACCGTTTAATTCTATCATTAAAAGACACGTGTTACATTATGGTAATTTTAAAATTTTTATTTAAAATTAAAAAATTAAAAATATTATTACATTTTAAAAACCCCAAATTTTTTCAAAAAACTTTAAAAAAGTCAAAAAAAATTAAAACCCTATTCTCAACCCCTAAACCCACACCAATCACCACTCTTTACCGTCGATAAACCTTTACATGACCTCTCTTTCACCCGACGACCGAAAACCTCATGAAAATCACTGAAAAAGAGTCAATCGATGGCCAATCGACATGTGTACCTTGACACTAAAAATCGCGACCCTACACGATCCCAACAACTAATCAGCGGTAAGGATAACGGCGTCTGACTATGAAGATGGAAAGGACGACTTCATCGATGGTAGCCGTGGCTGACAATGATAACAATGACTGGTTAGGGTTAGGGATTTAGGGCTTTTTTGTAATTTAAGATAGATTAGGGTTATTTTTTTATATATAATAACATTTTTAATTTTAAAAAATTAAAAAATTCAAAATTATCATAATGTGACACATGTCACTTAACGAGATTTTTTAACGAATATTACAGTTGAGATACCTAAAGTGGTAACGATAAGCACATGGATGAATCAAAAAAAAAAGTTTGGGCATCTATTTAGGAAAAGCGATATAATTTGGGCACTGATTTTCTAATTAAGCCTTTTTATTATAATACATAAAAATAAATCATTCTAAATTAAAATGATAAAAATGAGAGAAATACAAATTAGTTAAAAAAATCATATTTTTTCATTTTTTTTTCATGTTTATTTTATCAAATAATAAATTATTTTTTCTTTTATCAAACAAAAAGCTTTAATTAAATGATAGAATTTGCATTTATACTTTTTCATGTTATGATATGAAAGGCTGATATAAATCAAACCGAAATAAGTACATGATCTAAATTCAAATCTACGATTCAAACATATAAAATAAATTGCGACTCAAAATTAAACATTATGATTTTAAATTAATTTATTATTTAATAAAAGATGACTAATTCAGAAATAATTATATGATTCGTTAGCTGAGTGTTTGTAGTTTTAATGAATAAAGCCCATTAACAATTTAAAAGAGAATGTGATCCAGTCCAATTGTGATAAGTCCAGTACAAAGGACGCACACGAAAATAAAAATAAATCCAAAGCCACAGTTGAAGATTTGAATTTTGAAGTTGGTCATAATTTAAAATAAGTTATAAATGAGACCCTTATTAGCGAAAAAGGGAAAAACTCTTCTTCTCTTAATAGGTTTTCTTGTCCATCACTCCGGTCTTTCTCTTTATTTAACTTCCAAACTCTCGTCTCCGGTTTGTTTCTCTCTCAGCTTTTCCGGTGAGCTCTCCGGCGCCATCTCTTTTAATCAGAGTTCTAATCTTTCTGTTTTATTTTAAGGTTTAAATTTTATTCAGATTTGAATTGTCTCATTTGTTTTTAGGTCAAAGAAACAATTAATTCAAGGAAAACATGTCGAACTCTGTGATTGAAGTTCCTCCGAAGGGTGGATTCAGCTTCGATCTATGTAAAAGAAACGAGATGCTTGCGAAGAAAGGTCTTAATCCGCCTTCATTTCGTAAAACGGGTACCACTATTGTTGGCTTGATCTTCCAGGTACTAATTTCTGGAGAAAAAATAATTTCTGGGTTTTAATTGTTTTACCATGAAAAAAATGATTCTTTTTTTTCAGCTGATTTTATTGCGTATGTAGATTCCAATATATGGGATTTAATGCGTTTTGTTATCTTACAGTAAAAATTGCTTCCTTTAGCTACAGTCGGTGTATTATTTATATACTCATTTTCGTTTTTTGGTTGGTTGATACTGGGAAGTTACAATAATTTGCTGTGGTTTTTGTTATATGTTTAGATTAAGAAATCGAGGAAGGGATGGATTTTACTACTGATAGTTTGCTATATACATAGAGAATATTGATTTTTGGTGTTGTTAGTCTTTCCTTGTGGTTGATTATTCCAAGTGGGTTATGTGATGGTGAATTTGGAAATAGTTTGATTATAGCTGCAGGCTTTAGAATTTTTTTGAAGTGGAAGCATTTTTGTGGTATATATCTATGCTATCGTGATTTTAGGCTCATGATTCTTATTATTGAAACAAACCTTTGAAAAGCTGAAATAGAGAGAACAAATTACCAATTTGATCAGCTTCTTGGTTGATTTTAAGTTCAATGGCATTCATGGTTCTTTGTGGGTTATATTGTCGATATATAGCTCATAAGACAGCAACTGAGATGATGGTTGTAGGTTACTAACTAACGATCTGCTGCAGAACTTAAAAAAACAAGAGTTGGCGCCATGTTATTGTGAAATTGTCGAATGCCATATTCTCTTCCTTTTTTAAACTTGTCATATATAGCTGTCCTGATATTTTCTGCTTATCTCTCCTTATTTGTTTTTTATGTTCCATCGAGCTTTATTTCTGATGCTACTTATGCAATGCCACTGGTTTCACTTGAAATTATGTATAGGATGGTGTTATTCTCGGAGCAGACACAAGAGCAACTGAAGGACCTATAGTTTGTGACAAGAATTGTGAGAAAATTCATTACATGGCCCCAAACATTTACTGTTGTGGTGCTGGAACTGCTGCTGATACAGAGGCAGTAACTGGTACTTCCTAAAATTAGTGTTTAATATGGTTTAACAAACATCAGTAGTTTCTTCAAATTGAATGCTTGAGCACCTCATTTATAGCCGTTATTTTCACATTCTCATTTTACTGTAGCTAACCCATTGTTTCGGTGTTATGCATATCCTCAGACATGGTCAGCTCACAGCTCCAATTACACCGCTATCATACTGGTAGAGAGTCGAGGGTTGTTACAGCATTGACCCTTCTCAAGAAACACCTTTTCAAGTGATGTTTTTCTGTTTTCTTATATTTTTTTACCGACATACTTCTACATTATCTACGGAGAATATGTGATTCTAACTGCTTAGTAATTTGTCCAGCTACCAAGGCTATGTTTCTGCTGCTTTGGTTCTCGGTGGTGTTGATGTCACTGGGCCTCATTTGCATACCGTGGGTGTTTTCCAACCATTCGGCACCTCAAAATGACAGTAGTTTTTTGCTTTCTTTATTAGTGTAGTTTCTTATCACAGCAGTGCTTAAGTTCTGCAGATATATCCCCATGGGTCAACTGACACATTGCCATTTGCTACAATGGGCTCTGGTTCCCTGGCTGCAATGGCAGTATTTGAATCTAAATACAAAGAAGGCCTTACTGTAAGTTCAACTATTTATTTCTTTTGGTTTCTTGAAGATCAAGGGGTACAATACCCTAAGATGTTCTATGATTATCAGTTTGTTTGCCATCTATGGATCTCTTGTTTGTTTTCCATGTAAAATAAATATTTCATGCGTTTGCAGTTGCAAAGAAAAATAAATCAGCAATATTCAATCTGGAGCAACTACACCTATTTTGATCTGCTGATAATACTAAGTCAACTGTTCTTTCGCTTTGCAGAGAAATGAAGGAATTGAACTTGTCACCGAGGCTATATGCTCTGGTATCTTCAATGACCTCGGGAGTGGAAGCAATGTTGATGTTTGTGTAATAACTAAGGTTCGATGTTACTCACTAACCTCTTTTTGTTCGAAGGGACACCACACATTCATCTTGATCTCAACTTTCTCATTTTAATGAATCCTCAGGCTGGCAAAGAATACTTGAGGAACCATCTGCAGCCTAATCCTCGAACTTACACCAGTTCCAAGGGCTATTCTTTTCCCAAGAAGACAGGTTAGAGTGTTCTTTACGATTTCAATCCATTTCAACTATGCAGAACGTTTAGGTGTGTTTCTACTTTCTGTTAAAGCAACAACGAAATGCCATTTTTCTATTATCAAAGGTTTGGATGTTGCATGATTGAACTGTGATTACTATCTTGTTTGGTCGATAGCAAAGAATTTGAATGTCAAAGCAAAGGCCATAATAGTTGTTTTAGTCTATGTTATTTGGATTCGTATAAATGTCATATACAAAGACAGTTATGTATCCAGCATTGGTATATTCATTTCTTTTCGTCTCCTTTTTTTTTTTATAGTTTTTTCATGTATTTAAATCCTCATATCTGTATCAGAAAATGCCGAACATCGGTATTCCAAGTCACTATGATATGTTGTTTGATTTTCTTGTTAATTTATATGGTTGCAGAGGTTCTGTTGACAAAAATCATTACACTTAAGGAGAAAGTGGAGATTATTGAAGGAGGCGACGCCATGGAAGAATGAAGCAGACGTGTTACAAAATCAGCTTTCATTTATGATCTTTCAAAGAACTACTTTCTAATCAGTGTTATGCAATTTGCTCATTTTTTTCAACCTAGATTTTGTTGGTTAAACCTTTTGAGCTTGTTTTTAACATTCTAGTAATGATATATGATTTACATGGAATTATTAGGGAGAGCAACGGGTTGGGTTAGGGTTGAGTTTTTAGTTAATTCGACCAAAAAATATGTATTTTCCACACGAACCCAACTCGATCCGAAAATTATATATCCTCTATCCGACACTCGAACCAAAAAAATGTATATCCTCCGTCTGACTTTGATCCGACCCAAAAAATATATATTCTCTATCTAATTTTGACTCAGACCGATATTTTAGAGTATAAAGTTGACCCGATTTGATATAAAATAAGGATTTAATTAAAAGAATAATAATTTTTTTAAAGAAATTACATTATGATCTTGGCTTGGGTTAGGTTAGAATTTTTTCACCTTCCATTTTAACTTGATCAGATTTGTTCTCACCTCTTAAACAATTTAACCTGATCTAATTTCAACTTAAATTTTTTAAAAAAATTTGATCTTATCAGATAATGTCAAATTAAAGACCTACGGTTACGGGTTAAATTGTTAAATTGTCATAGTAATTATTACCCTGAATATCTTCGCTTCACAATGTTCCTGTTATCTTAATAGTTAAAAGTCCAAAGATCAATCTTCTAACATTTTTTGGATTTGACGTGCTCCATTTTTGTAATCTTACACAGATTATAGGCATAAACCTTCCCGGATTTCTTTTTAATTTAAGAATAATCTTTCGGATCATGTAAGATTTTCACGATAATCGTCATCTTATAATATTTTTACTTTTTTTTTATAATTTCAAACAATTTTATCCTCTTGTATCAAAGAAATTATTTGATGGATCTGACTTACCACGTCATTCATGGTCTCATCCAATAATTTCATTCATCTTAAAGTATCTTTCAAATAAGTCTTATTTACATGTAGAAAGAGGTGAAAATACATCTTGACAAAAATGAGATGGATGAACCTTGTTGACTGAGACTATCGATGATGTGTATGATAATGTTTTCTTGCTTTGTGATATTTTTTTATTAATGTGGATGTTTTTAAAAAGTTATTTAAACCTTTTATAATAAAATAAAAGTTGAATTATGTTTATCCTATTATTATCTTTTCAAGTGCATTATCATCGGTGACACTGGTTCGTCTATACACCCTGACCCTATCTCTCTGCTTAAATATCAGCATTTGGGTTTCTTTTTATGGGGACCGGTTGGTTTGTGGTGCAGGCGTAGGGAAATCATGTCTGCTCTTACAGTTTACGGACAAGAGATTCCAACCGGTTCATGATCTAACCATCGGTGTTGAATTGGGTGCTCGGATGATCTCCATTGATGACAAGCCCGTCGGGCTTCAGATCTGGGATACCGTAAGATGTTTTCCTTCTTTTTTTCTTCTTTCTAGTGAAAAGAGTATTCATTTCTTTTTCACCATTTTAGCTGTTGGGTGCGAATAACTTGGGAAATTCTGTTACAATATTATGTTCATGAATCATGTGCTTCTTTGGCCGTTATTCATAGAATTTAGTTTAGGATCCCAAAACGGTGACGGGAAATATGGGTTTATTTTGGAGTAGAATTTCGTAGGAATTTAAATTTATTTTACGTGGAATGATTGGTATATAGTTTGTTTGCGGTTCGAGTTAATTTAATCAGATTTGTCTCGAAAAAGAGTATGCATCGGTCTGTTAAAGTTTCTCCAAGTTAATTATATAGGTATTAGGTATGAACATATATTCAATATCAACAGTCTCTAAGTCCATCGTGTATTTGGAAGATCGAGACATAGGTATTTGTTCATTTGTTCCCTGTAACTCCATAAAAAGGAGATTAGTTATTATTTTGGTAGTTGCTTCCTACTCAAGGAATGTGGAACCAAATGAAATGTAGCTTATTATTAATGAAATTTAATTGGCTTCTTTTATCTTTTTCTTTCGGTAGTTGCTTCCTACTCAAGGAATGTGGAACCAAATGAAATGTAGCTTACTATTAATGAAATTTAATTGGCTTCTTTTTTCTTGATCACAAGGCTTTTGTTGGTTTTTTTCTTCCATTATTCAATGATTAGATGAATATTTAGCAAACAGCTTTTCGTTTGCTTATATATTTCAGGCTGGGCAAGAATCCTTCAGACCCATAACCAGATCTTACTACAGAGGAGCCCTTCTGGTTGGTCTATGATATAACCAGGTGAGATACCAAATTGTTGCTTAAGTAATGAGTTTTGAAGCTATATTGCTCCAGCTCGGATGTGGGAATAAAAAATTGATGTATCTGATATTAGTATGTTCAAAATTTTCATGTGTCAGTCAGGCATGAATACTTCAAGTAAAATGAAGAGTCCAAACAATATAATTGTAAAGAAATGAAGGTCCCACCAGCAACTGTTGTCCCGATCCGTAGGTAACTTGAAGGATTGATGATTGTGTGTAACTTTACTCGTGACCTAAATATTATTTATATTGATAATGTCATATTTTTAATAGTTTTTTTCTACAAGATAATTATTTAATACAATTATGTGAATTAAACAAAAAATATATATTGATCATAATTTAATAAGCGAAATAATGAGAAACAAATAAATTTTCAATCAATATATCTGAATATATACAAAGACTTGGCCAAGCCTATTCACTATATGCATCTTCTCAAACTACAAATCAAAAAGAATAATTACAAGTAGAGAAGCATTAAAAGTAAAGCTTTAGTTTCGATCTGATTGGACTCCGGCATATCGGGCAGTTTTCGAGTTCTTCCGAACATTCTTCACGTCTGAGGAAAACGAAAGGAAAAAGAAATGGTCATATAATCTCTACAAACATCCATGGCAAGAACCAAGGGAAAATAGCTTTAGAGGCATGTCACCTGGTGCCCGCAACAAAATGCCATGCCTCTCGAGTTACTAAGACAAATGGGACAAAGCTGTTCGAAACAACCGTAAAGGGATTAGCCTTCAACATTAATTACACAACATTTATATGTTCCAAACCTTGTCTTGAATCTCAAGGGAGCATGCTTCCTGTACCTGGCTATCGTAAGTGGAAGTTGTAACTTCGGGGTACAGAGAGACACTTGGTCGGAAACCGGTAACGTGAGACAGTTTCGAGCTGTTGAAAGATGCAGCACCGCATGTATGCGGAGGTAGGGGAACTCTCTCCGGAACATTTCCCTTTCGAACACTGCACAAGTAAATGGAAAGTTGGCATCATCACTTGAGTTTGCGGAAAGGCTAACATTAAGCAATGGAGAAGTGAGTATTACCCCAGAATGTTATGCTCAATAGTTGCCTTGTACTGTGATGGGATCTCCATTAAAGCTGCTAGAGCGAATTCCGTCTCCTTGCGCGATGGAGCTATATTCTTCGACATGATCTCCGTGAAATTTACAAACTAGAGAAAGAGAATCATCACGAGGACAACCTTAATAACTGAAGCATGAACAATATCAAACATGTAACTTCTAGTATGCAATCAGAATTTACCTGGAAATTATCAAAGGCTCGAGCAGGAATATTGTCGTCGAACTCCTTCATCATGTCCCATGGTCCATCTCCGACACCGACCACTATAATTGAAAGTGGAAGCTTGCTGTAATATACCAAACAAGATGTAAGAAACAATTTTTGCAATGAAAATAACTAAATTGAATGAAGCAGGCTCCATAACGTTTACCTTGCTTGCACTATGGCATCAACGGTCTTCTGCTCTAGCGGACTTAACCTGCCGTGCCCGGTATCAACATTTCCGGTTACCTGAAACAACCGCTGGTATTCGTCATACTAAACCGATATGAAACTACAGCAAAAATCGAGAAAATTACCTGTCCGTCGGCAATTATCACTAACACATGGTACTGGCCACAACTCTGCTCAACAATGGTCATTGCCATTTCAATGATAGGAGCAAACGATGTAGGTCCTGAAAGAATAATAGTTATTTATCAGTTAGCTTCAAAAGGCAGATCGAAACACCGATGAAAAATGGGAGATTAGTCGAAACCTGAAAGACGTAGATGAGGCATGATTTCTCTATATCGGCTTAAGATTTCCTCAAAACCATTACAAAATCTCTTGTCCGGATAGAAACTGAAGACATCATGGTCATGAGTTGATGCTTCCAACAGTACATTCTTAGCATCAGCATTAATAAACAGGCTCTGTAGGTTAAAAACCGGAAGTAGATACGTACCATCACCGAACCCGAAACATGGAATCAAGTTATCCTCGTCAAAGACAGCTAGGGTTCTCCCAATGATTGATATTGCTTGTTCGTATGGATTCAAACCATTTCCAATATGGTGCAAACTTTTGCCATTGAATGATCTTTTACCTACAAAACAAGCCACATTCAGCAGGTTTTACAATGGCTCATAACATATCTTACTGGCGCGTTTAGGACATCGATCTTAAACTGTCCACTGGTTACTCTTCGTGAAATCGATAGCGACAATGAGATTTGACGATTCAAGGCCAGCATTCACGAGAGCCTCAGTCACCTACTTAATGGAAAAACTCGTCACCGAAGGAATTATTCCATCAACGTAACTTGTAACAAAAGAAAGCAATATATAATAGATACTAACCTGATCCAAGGAGTGATAGTTATCTGCGATTCTCGAATACCTCCTCTGCAGCATCCTTCTATCACTTGCATGATCTCGTGAAGGCAGGTTATAATACTGTGGCACTTGTTCGGAAGGTGCAAAATACGGCGGCTCGTGTTTCAAATGCGGATGATAGGACGGTGACCGTGGCTCAACACTGGGGCTCTCTTGATCGTATGAATATTGATTATACCACATATAAGAATCCCTTGATGATGAATTTGAACGATTCAATGAACCCTGCCTCCAACTTCCTTCCCTTGAATTACTAATCCCCATTAACTCCAAGTTTACGAAGAAATCATCAACGAGTAAAGCTAAATATAAGAGCAGGTTTAAACCAAAAGGACAATAACAAGAAGGTGCCACGAAAGAATGGTGATTGAGTAATGGAGTCTCCAAGAATCAAAACACTGCTCTTCACTGTTATAGATCCAGTACACGAAATCTATATAAATCAATTATCAATGAAAACCTCACCAGGCATATATATATTAGATCTTCGGAGAAACTTCAAAGTTTACTGTATTTCTACCAAAAAAAATCCAGAGACCAATTCAGAAGCGTTTGCCTAATAAGTAATATTCTGGAAGGGAGAAAATTTTGAAGTTTAGAAGCGAAAAGTCAATAACTTTATGACTTTGGGACGAAGAGAATATCCCATGCCCTTGATTCATTGATTGAAGCAGAGGAAGTTGCTTAGAGCTTCAGTGGAGGGCGTGGGTATCATATAATCTTTGCTTTTGAAATTTCAGATGAATTCATTGATTAATGATTACTCCAAAAAGAGCAAAGCATCTTTTGATGCTTGCAAGCTAAATTCACGTTTCAATCTCGTCTTGTCATTGTCCAGTTTGCTTAGCTGAAAATGTCATTATCAAGAAGGAATATTTTTTTCTGAAATTATATTTTTATGCACCAAAAAGATTATTACAAAAGAATAATATTTCCTCGATAGTAACATGTTTTTGATTAAAATGAACCTCCAAATTCTCACGTATTACAGAATTCATATCACTTTGAACAAGAATATCTTTATACAAATAATTTTTTTTATAATGATCCTCCTAGACTCTTATTTTTTGTATTTTACACAAAACTATAAATATAATAATAATATACAAAGAGTTTAGTTTAATAAAATATTAATAAATTTGAATATATAAAATATTTTATTGTAAAAATATAATTATTTAAAATAATATCTAATCTTAAGTTATTAAAAAATAGATCATATATTCCACTCGAGACTATAATATTATTTTTTCATATTATATTATATTATATTATATTATATTATATTATATTATATTATATTATATATAAATAAATATGATACTTATGAAAATCATTTAAAAAAAATTAAGTTTAATATATTAAATAAAATTTTTATCAAAAGTTAAACAATATAACGATATAAATATTTTTATGAATTTTCATTTAAGTATTTATAATTTAATATTAAAATTTAACTTTAAATATATATATCGCAACCGTCTTTCGGGTGGGTTCGGAATTGGACTTCAACTTAGATAAAATCGTTAGAGTCGCCACCGATCATTTTAAAAACAATATTTAGGTTGGTCGGACACCATCTTACCTTATATGCGTTTTACCATAAATATGTCAGATTCGGGAGTCGATTACAATCAAGGAAGGATTGGTACCCTTGATCTGCCATTTCGGTACCATTTAATTTTTCAATTGTCATAATTGCGAAAATTAAAATTTAAAAATTCAATTTGAAATGCTTACCATTGATCAATTGAAATTATTACTGAAAAAGTCAAAAAAGGAATGTTAAATTGAAAAAAATAAAAATAAATAAATAGTAAATAAAAAAGAGGAAAAAAGTTTAAAATATAAATAAATAAAATCATATTAACATAAATAATAAAAAAATTAAAAATTAAATTAAATTTTAAAGGAAATAAATAAAAAAATAAATAAATAATAAAAAGAGTGAAAAAAATGTTAATTTGTAAAATGAAGAGAAAAAATGTTAAATTAAATAATAAAAAATAGAAAAAGAATGAAATAAAAACTTAAAGGACTAAATTCGAATAAATTGAAATTCATGGATCAAATTGATTCTAAAAATGAGATGAAAGAGAAAAATAAAAAGTTAGGGGGCCAATTTGCAAAATATAAGAAATGTCAATAGGGATTAAATTGAACAAATTGAAAATTCATAGACAAAATAGCAATAGGTGACCAAAATGAATTACACTTCAAAAGTTGGGGGACGGCAGAAAGGAATTAAGTATTTACTAATTACAATGTGGTACATCCCTTATAAATACCCACAAACCCCAAAATAATTCATTTTAACACCAAACCGAAAAAAACCTTAAAACACTCTCCCCTCTCCCTCTAAGTCGACCGAAACCCGACCGCCGCTCTGGTGGCCAACCACCGTCCGCTGCCGCTTCCGGTGGCCAGAAAAATTAAAAACATCTCCAAAATATTCTCCACACTACCCCGATGTCGAAACCGAACCCCAAATCTCACAAAAAACCCTTAAACGAAGTAAATCTAAGGTGAAAGGTTCAACTTTTACCTATTAACCATTTGTATTCTGGCGTTTTTTGTTCCTCACGGTGGTGCTTTTCCTCGCGCCAACGGATCTCCTTGTACCTTGCGAGGGATGCTTCGTTATTTTGCTTGTGTAACTTTGGTTGGCTTCGATTTTTTTGCTTGCTATATCTTGCTTTGTATTTTGCTTGTGATATTGGTGGTTTGGTTACCTTTTTCCGTTCACCGTGGTTCGATGTTGTTCTCTATTGCTCTCGACCGGGGTTTTTTATAACCCCATGGTCTGCCGTTGTGGTCCCTGAAATAACAGGATTCATGTGGGTTGTTACTTGACTTACTCGTTCCGATCTTATTGTACACGTCGTTCGGCTAAGATTTTTGGATTGATCAATCCTGATCTCGGTCGGTTGTTGACCTCTGATCTCCACGCTTTGAGTGTGGCTTCCACGTGCCATATGTGCGGTGCCAATGCCAAAATACGTAACCCTAGTTTGACTGGGCTAGGTCAGGCCCACCTAATCAGGCCTGCTGGGTCAGGCTTACCCTATTGGGTTTCCTACGGGGCCTTTGTTGGACTTCATTTGGACCTAAAACGAAAATAATAATATATATATATATATATTAATAAAATAAAATAAAATAAACAATATTAATATAATATATAAAAAATCATTTTCAAAATTATATATTATATACATTCTCAAAAATATTTTCAAAATTTATATATTATATATATATTTTTCAAAAACTATATATTATATATATTTTTTCAAAATGTTTTCAAAAACTATATATTATATATATATTTTAAAAATATTTTCAAAAACTATATATTATATATATACTTTCAAAATGTTTTCAAAAACTATATATTATATATATATATTCAAAATGTTTTTAAAAACTATATATTATATATATTTTCAAAAACGTTTTAAAAAACTACATATTATATATGTTTTCAAAAATTTTCAAAACTATATAATATATATATTTTCGAAAACCGCTTTCAAAACTATATAATATATTTTCAAAAATCGTTTTTTTATATGTTTTCAAAAAACTGTTTTCTAAAAACTATAAAAATATTTACAAAAATTAACCTATAAAAAACTCCAGACGAAAATGAGTGTCTACAATATATATATATATATATATTCAAGTAATCTTATTCTCCTTCAACTAATTATTATAATATTAAAATTAATTAAATAAATCAAATAAAACAATACGACATTTTCATAATGATGTTACGTTTCAATAATATTATTGTCTAAGATAATCACGGACGGCTGTTAGTATTATTTGAGAAGAATTCATTTATCGTAGTAGTGCTTTATTACGCTTGAATTTACGGTTTCTTAAATCTTATAATAATAATTATGTAAATCAATAAAGCTCTATATCAATATAAATTTATCATATATAAAAAATGAGATCTGATCTACTCATTTTGTTATCGTATAAATTATCTTTGATTATATAATTATATATATATATATATATTTTATAAATTTAGCCTAATTATGAACTTATAGTTGTCCTTATTTTATAATTTCATAGGCTTTTAGTAGTAATATTATTTATACTTTAGGTATACAATAATTAAAAACTATTTATCAATTAAATATTAATTAGATTAAATAATAAAAAAACCTAATTAAAAAAACCGGTGATATATTTATTTTTGTAAGTAAGAAGTGAATGGATATTAAATTAATAAAATTTGATGCAGTTGGTGAAAAAATGAACAGAGTAGTTCTTAGAACATTTAATATTGCAGCTTCTACAACACTTGCAAGTATCGTTCTCCAATGACAATAGAGCATGCATCGTGAAGAGCTGTCAAATATAAAGTGTTTTGAATTATCGATAGATTATGTGAGCGTTTATAGATTTGGATATGAACATGGCAACGTTCAGCTTGTTTTTCTAGTCAAAAAAAAAAAAAAAAAAACTTCGTTTGTTTGCAATGCTTAATGCACTAGTCTTGACCTATACAAATAAAAGACCAATAGGCTACTCTAATGTTGCCAGCTTCTCTTCATCAACCTCAAATGCCTTCCTAGCCTGCTTCAATTCCTCTTGCATCGACAGCAATTCCGTACAACGATTTAGTTTTGGTGTGTCCTGCATAATCAAACCGGTTATCAACATTACTCTTCGAAGCACTACGATAAACATCAAAGGACAAACAACCACTGCTGTAAACATGCTTAGATTATCAACCCTTGCATATTTGTTAAAACAGCGCATCAAAATATGATTGAGAGTTTACCTTGCGAATTAGATACAGAAAATCTTCAACAGATAGCTTTCCTCTCTTTGATCCAATATCTTGTGCTTTATGTGCCTACAGACGAGGGAGATAGGAACATATTACAGACGATGGCATCTCATTTAACTAAAAAAAATATAAATTGGCAAAACCATGGAGACTCACCAGATCTGTTACGTATTCCACGACAATGTCTTCCACAAGGGTCACAGTCTCTGGAAATGGCTGAAAATGCAACAAATGGAGTTCAAAGTCATGATCGGATACATATAACAAACATATTCTGGAAGACCATACAGGAAAAATGCCCATCTCCGTTGCAGCAGGGCATAAAAGCAGGCAAAGTAGGCCAATTTTATGAATTTTCTCCCAATGAAGCATCCATAAGATGAGATTTCAAGCTTTGTATGCATGTATTGGGATTATCTTCTGAACTATGTTCAAGTATCTAAGCAAGAAAAATACTATCATTGATAGTGGAACATAAACATTAGCAATCAAAATCAACCTTAGAGACAATTATACTCCAAGACTGCATCATTGAATTGATCAAAACCAAAATTGTTATAGAAGAAAGCATGGGAAGGAATTGATAAAAGTTAGTATAGCAAAAGGTCTGAAGCCAACGAACAATATACAAACTTCTCAACGACATTTTGCACATACACTACGTCTTTCCTTCGAATGAAATATGTTGTTACTCATAGCTATAACATTGGGATGAAATCCATTACCAGGCTGCTTCGACTCTTATTTTTTTCTTCTTCAAGTAACCCTCCAAATATAGGGAAATCATAGAAACACAGCAATACTCGCTTTGACCATGTCCGAAACTCACAACAGAATCCAAGTAATGTAGGCCAAGTTTAAGGGATCAATTGAGCTGCCTACTAAGACAGTAAGCAATAAAGATAAAAATACAAGTCCAAAATTATATATATATCTTACAAAAGATACAATCTTTTTCTGTTTTACTTTCATTCACATCTCAATCATAATCCATAAAAATGACAAGAAAAAAGGGAAAATTTAGGCCATGAAAAGAGCTCAATTCAAATTTCTGAGTATACTTACATTGGCATCATCTCCAAAGCCATACATCATATGTTGCACTGTAAGAAAAACAATGGAATCATTAGGGAAAAAACTTGCAGGAAAATTAAGAGAACAGGGATATAAAGGAGGAATAAATTTTGGTTTACAATCTTTTTGAAAAACTCCTCTTTTGCGCTTGAAAGAAGCTTCTGAAGGCTGTGATGACCCAGCTTTTGCTTTTGAAGGGGTTCCTGCTGATGGGTTACTCATTTTTATCCCAGAATGATTTCTACTTTCACAGAATCGTAAGAAACAAACTAGTCCCAAGAAACACATATACTATTAGAAAACCCATCATTAAAGGGGGGGGGGGAGTCTTAAAAAGGGTAGTGAAATGGGCTAACGAATGTCTTGAGTTGTGTTGTTTTTCAGCCTGCTTAAATCTATTTTCATTTAAAGCCCAAATTTTATTGCCAGTGGAATTCAATAATTTAAGAAAAAAAAGAACATTTTCTCCTTAAAAGAAAAACAAATGTTTCTTGTGAAATTGACTAATGGTCACATAATCACCATGATTTGTTTCTCGAGGTCAAGGAAATTTTGGAACTTCAATTCTCTTAACTAATGCATTGTCAAAGTAATCCAATTTGTTTGATGACGAAACTCTTGGAAGTTCAAGATAGAGTAAATTTAAAACAACTTTTAAGAATATTCCCCTTAAGATCATCAAATCTTTCGTTTTTCACAAAGATCACAGATTTTTAAAGAAATAAAATAATCCAAGCGTATATATTGGAAAATTTGCAACTGATTTTTGGCTTTAGCTTAGTAATTGCCAGGTTATGCACATGGATGATGTACCACACAGTTGGTGCACAACCAAATCCATTTTCAATCCCCGAGGCCTACAAAATAGAGCCCTTTTTTACTTTTACATTTTGGTCTCTTTTTTTTGAATTTTACCTAACACCCAGGAAAAGCTTGTCACTACGATAAACAGAACGTGATCTCACTTGTTGTAACAGAAGACAACAAGACCATCAAACGGTGTACAGCTCTCAAGACAAAATGGTTCAAAACATGTGCATCTTGACAATAAAAGATTGTCCGGTCTGCAACAGTGGACACATATGGATGGATGTCATTAATGGGGCAGATGGTCCGGTTGATCATCTTTTTAACCCAAGCCAAAGTGGTCAAAAGGTAGATTAGCTTCTTCTTCTTTTTTTCATATATAATGTTCCTAGAATGAGCTAAAGTTGTAGAGGAAAAAGATGGAGCTTTGGGGTGTTTTAATCTCTGGGGTTTTAGTGTCGTGGTGGGTGTTGAGTGTAAATGGTGGTAGCTTACCACCATGTGCATTCCCTGCAATTTACAACTTCGGTGACTCAACCTCATCATAGACTTCATAGGTAACAGAAAGAACAGTTCATGGCGAACTTGTTTATATTCATGTCTAAATCTTGTTCTTTTGTTCTTTACTTTGGCAGCTGAGAGGATTAAATTGCCATATCTTCATGCGTACTTGAATTCCTTGGGAGCAAATTTCAGGCATGGGGCGAATTTCGCCACCGGAGGATCAACCGTAAGAAGGCCAAATGAGACCATTTATCAGTATGGGATAAGTCCATTTTCTTTAGATATGCAGGTTGTGCAATTTGAACAGTTCAAAGCAAGGGCTGCTGAAATGTATAATCAAGGTTAGATTACAAGTTTGTGTGTTTGATAGAATGTTGACATGAAATTAACAATTTTTTTATACTGTTTTAACCCTTTTCTTTTTGGTAATCCTTAGCTAAGCATCCTTATGAAAAGGATAAACTTCCTAGACCGAGGACTTTGCAAAGGCGCTGTACACATTTGACATCGGCCAAAATGATCTTTCTGGGTTTAGGCACTTGAGTTTTTATCAATTGCGTGCAGAATTGCGTGATATCATAAACCAGTTCGCATCAGCTGTCCAAGTAATTTCCATTCTTTCTGTCTATGTAGTTTCCGGTTTTTCATTGTTCTTGAAGTATCCGTGTTCGACATCTGAATCTGATACATTTGTTTGATTAACATGGATTTTGGTGTAAGAACTGCAAATGCATTTATGTTCAGCTAGCAGTATTATTAGAACTTTTATGGCAAGATGCAAAATCAAACTGATCTGTATGTTAAAAACCAGCGTTTGTATAAGCAAGGAGGGAGGACATTCTGGATACACAACACGGGTCCAATCGGTTGCTTGCCGGTTAACTTTTTCTACATACTTAAACCCGACCCTGGATATGTTGACCAGTACGGTTGTGTCAAGAAACAAAATGAAATTGCCATGGAATTCAATAGGCAGCTTAAGGACAGAATCATCCAGCTACGAACAGAGCTCCCTGAAGCTTCGATTACGCTTGTGGACGTCTATACCGCTAAGTTTTCAATGATTGCCAATGCTGAGAATCTAGGTAATCTCCCATTGCTATACAATCAAGCTTTTACTTTGATGATTAAGGTTTGGATTTGATTGCATCTAAGCCGACATAAACGCAATTCGAGGTTATCTTCGATGAAATATATGCTTGAATGCTTCTTGTTTATTAGTTTATGCATTTGTTTATAGGAATGGCGGATCCATTAAAGCCCTGCTGTGGATATCATGTGAACTATGATCATGTATGGTGCGGGAACAAAGCAATCGTCAACAAAACTGAAGTATTTGGCGCTTCGTGCAAAAACCCTTCTGCCTTTGTAAGCTGGGATGGAGTTCACTACTCCCAGGTCGCAAATCAATACATTGCAGATCGTACACTCAACGGATCGTTATCATACCCTGCAATTCCAATCAGTCAAGCATGTCATAAGCAGTAAGGCCTTCGATTACTGAAAAACCATTGCTGATTAGCTTTCGTGGAAAAAACAATTTGGAGCACCATTTTCATGTATTGAAGGTTTGTTACGTGCAAATTGCTCTCATATGTCATACAATAAGACCTTGAGAAGTTTTAACAATATTGTGGGCCAAGAGAAATATTTGGCTTATCCGGATTTTAACGTCTGAGCACGAATATGATCAGTTTTTTAAATATGTTTTTAAACCCTCCTCGAGTAAAATGCATCACTTATAGAATCGAATGCTCGAATCCAAGTGCAATGACAACCCAAAGCTACTAATGCGGAAGCATGAAAGACCTTTAAGTAATGAAGATGGATACAAATTTTCAATTGTTCTTTACTGATCCAATACATGAAAATCCGAGCTCGGTAACATGTTTAAGACGCCAACTTTAATAATATTATACACATTTTTATACGCACATCTCATTGTCTATGTCCTGGCAATGGAACCACTTTGCGAAACGGTACCATCTTCTGTGGCAAAGCTCCGTCTTCTTCGTCGTCATCAAATTCTAGTAGGTACCTACACGAGAACAAAAACTGGTCATGCATTTCAGTAACATATAATAATAATTAGATTGTTTATTGGGAAGATAAACAAAATGAGGAAGAACACAAACAAGCAAAGGAGTACAAGGTTTCACTCATTGGTATGGAGGATGTTACTTACTCGTCGGATTTCCTCTGGAAAGATATAATACGGTGCACAGCCCGCCATGATATGCACACAAAGTACTAGTCAGTTTATCATTTTACCAAATGAACAAAAGAACGTAAAAGAATATGAATTGATCCGAAAGTATATATTGGGTACTGAATGATGACAGTGGTGGCCGGAATAGTCACCTTTCGAGGTGTACTAACGACAGTTGCTTTATAAAGTGCAGTTGTTCCTGGATAAACAGCCAAAACATGTCTCCCAGCAGCGAATTCTCGAGTACTAGAAGGATCGTTCTGCTTGGGGAATGGTATAATGCAAGATGCAGGCAGCTTGTACTTCCTGTAATCTCAGTAACAAAAATTGAGATCTTCTGGACAAACTAGTTTCAGCCAGCTATATGAAAAATTGAAAAACAGAAGCTACCAACGAACATTGATTCGAAAATTTGACAGCATAAAAGAATTTGAGCCCTTGATATAAATCTTGTAATCCAGTCTCAATCATCAAAACAAATAAAACGAGGTAGAGTCCCCCGGCCCAAAAAGTAACGAATAAGAACATGATCTGGAACGTATAAAAATGTTACCTTCGGACACCACCCTCTTCATCATCACCTGGCTCCTCATCCATTACTTCAAATCTGCAATATAAAGATTCAACTTAGAAACAGGAATAAAGAAGATTCTGAACGGGATCTTTGCATGAGCCAAATGAAATGTCCTATATAAACTGTACTCTTTCGTTTTCTCATCAAATTTATCACTTACAACAAACCACTCGTCCTTCTCAGCATCTGAGGTGACTCTTGCAGCTACCTGAGTACGGAGGGAAGGAAAAGTTTATTAGGTCTAAGAACAAAAAACACGATCGAATGGATTGTGACAGAGCTGCACAGACCTATTGGTCTACAAGCTTATCTGTTCATCTTTGAGACCAACACAAGCCTCAATATGAATCCACATGAAGGAGAAATGCAAGAGAGATCTGAATCAGATTTCATTCTTTTCTTTTTTTGATCACCATCTGCAATTTGTTTAATGTTAGCTGCATAAATAGGCTGTTCAGATACACTAGTTCTATTATCAGAAATCTACACATGAAAATGACTTTTCTGCTTTGGCACATGCCATATGTTCAAGACCTTCTAGATTCAAAAGAATAGAAAGATCATAAAGACTTCATAGTTTCAACTAATTGTCGAGTCTTTTATCTTGTTTTAGCTATCATGATATAGTATGCAAATTAGTCCTTTAAACACAGGAAATGCGTAGGAATTGGCCTCGGAAGTCCGCATTTCAATGAACTAAACAAAAGTTGCAGGTCATGGACGGGAAAGAGAAACAGAAGAAGATGGAGAAAATCAAACTGCAGAGAACTACAGCTATATCTTCACATCCTCTTTGACTACTACATAACTAAATCAAACCCTTCCACAAGTTTAAGGATAAGTTCGGTCAACTGCCAAGATGGTTATGACTTATGAGAGGACCAACCTCAGCATTAGTGCTAAGATCCCTAAATATGTCATGCAAAGAGAGAACACGACAGATAGGTTAGAAGCAACTGAAATGTCTCAAACAGGTACGGTAGGTAGCACAGACCCATTTTTCTTCGTTGTTGTTCTGGAGGTCCAGATGGCAGAAAAGTGTTAAGTTGACCTACTAATGAGCTGGAAATCCTGTAGTAATGCCAAACAACAGGTATTCATAAACAAATATGGTAATGAGAATTATAAAAAGGCCTGCCTAACCAAACCAGAAAGCTCATTGCTAAGTACAAAGAAAATGGTAGAAAAATAGAGATAATGGACGTACGCTACTTCTCTCTCTGAAAGATCTCTACCTTGAATATACAAACTTTTTAGCCCCGATAATGAATGAATCACCAGGTTTCTCAACTACCTCAGGAGCTGCATAGGTATGAAAGTTCGAAATTAACAATAAAAATTGTAATAGTTAATAGAGAACATGAATAAAGCAAAAACAAGGAAGAAAAACTACTCTTAAATCAAGAAAATAGTTGATTCCAGATATAGCTTTTAAACGGCAATGACCATATGGATCTCAAAATTCCTTAAACCCCAATGAATAGACAACAAAAATGTTCATTTATCGTCTTGCTGCAGTTAAATCAATCAAGACATTTCCAAAAGAACAGATATCAGGAGTAAGTTTTTGTTAAGAAAATGATGAAATCCAAACTAAAGCAACAAAATGGATATTTTGAAGCTCGCCAGCTATAGGTAAATATACATGAAGCATTGAACATTATTCTACATGTATACAAAACTAACCACTCTCGAAATGGATTTGCAGGTATGCAATGAGTGAGGAGCAAACAATTTCTTTCTCCATGAAAATTAAGCCCCATGAACAGCAATTTCAGGTAAATCGCATGTTTTTCAATCAAAAGGGCGAACCTTCACACTAAAATTGCCTCAAACGTTTGCTAAAGTTTAAACCACAACTTAGATTCAAATAAGCATTAAACCAAGTCACAAGTCAAAGTACAAATAGGAAATATCCTTTACTATTTGATCAGATACTCTACTTTTTTTCTTCTTCTATAAACCAACAAAAAAAGTCATATATTAAAACAATCAGCAATAATAATGTATAACAAAAATAACTTCCTTATCCAATAAAATCCATCATCAACGGAATTTAACCTCTTTTAAAAACAAATCTACCTAAAAAAGCATGTTTTTAATAAGAAAAATAAACTAAAAACCCAGCGAGCCAAACAACTTAAAAGAACATTCCGCCAACTTGAGCGAATAAAGATGTTGCTTTAAGCGCAATTTGTTGGCCAACGATTTTTACATGTATAGTTACTCCAACTTCACTCACAAAGAAGTAGTCATTTTCTCTTTCAACACATCCTGCAATATTTTATTTGATAAGTGTAAAAGGATCTGAGATAGAGCTTTATGATCATTACGTTTTTCTTCGTTTGTTCAATTTGACGATGTCTCCATATCAAACTCTTCCAATGCATCATCTAAGTCTAATTGTGAAAGGATGTCCCGAATATTCACCTACCAAACGAGAATCTAGTGTTTCGATCCAACTACGAAATATCATATTTTATTGTTTCCATAATCTTGAACTCGAAGCTCTACTATCAATTTGTTATAATATCGAAACGATTATTGACAAACAAATAAACACAATCAGAAAAGAAAACAAAGAACACTAAGATTTTACATGGAAAACCCAAAAGAGAAAAATCACGGAGAGGAGAAGAATTTCACTAATATGAAGGAAGAAAACACAAGACGATTTTGGTGAAAGAAAAGAACTTGATATCTAACATTTTACCCTTAGGGTGCGTTTGGTTCACGGAATGTAAGTACCAGTGGGAATGTAAGATTACCAGGAATAGGATTACTGAGAATGTTGTATTTTGTGTTTAGTTGACTTAGCAGAATGTAAGATTACCGATTTGGTTAAAGGAATAAAAATTATTGGAATGTATATTTGACCAAATGTCTTTATATATATTTGTTTTTTAACAAGTTGAAAAATATTTATATATTTTCTTTAAAAAAATTAAATTCTTAAAATTATGTATTTTCTTTAAAAAATTTAAATTCATAAAATTTATATAATTTTTTTTACAAAATTAGAATATAAAAAGGTTTAATGAAAGGGTAAAATTTTATTTAACCACTGAACTTTATATAAAATTTTAATTATATTTTTTTTTTGTAAATCTAAATAGTTTAAGGATAAATTTATAATTTAACCTTCGTAGAATTTTTATTATTCAATGACAGAATAAGAATATTTTTGAAAGAAAAAAATTTAAGGGCATTTTAGTCCAAAATGCCGGTAATCCAACAATATCTAAGGAAATGGAGGTAATGACATTCCCGGTAATATACTCCAAAAAATACACTATTGGTAATCTTACATTACCGGGAATGGGATTCCCGGGCTAACCAAACGGGGGAATGTGGATTTCATTCCCATGAGAATCTCACATTCCCCCATCCAAACACCCCTTAGTATCTATTTATAGGGATAAATACTTAAATATAAAGAAAAACTAAATAAAGTAAAAGTTACTTTATAAAAAGTACTTTAATAAATTACTTTACTTTAATAAAGTTCTTTAATTTTAATCAAACTATAATTCTTACTTTTTTAATTAAATATTAATTAATTTGTGTAACTTTGAATTTGAGTTAAATTATAACAAAAATTTTATCCATTTGATATTAATTTTACGATCAAAACGAGTTTTTTAACTAAAAGAACTTTTCGACAACATTACCAAACGTAATCTTAATATAAGAATGACACTAGATGGATATCTAAGCCAAGCAATCACATTACAATAGTTAGATTCAGTAATCATATATCATTTAGTTAATCTTTGTTTAAATTTTAAATTATTTAAAATGTATATATATTTTATATTACACATGTAACTATTTGAATCCAGTACATGTATTAAAAATAATATTTTTTAATCGCCAAGGTTATTAATAAATTTGATTATAATTCTTAATTTGAAGGGTAATTAAATGTTGTTTATGAACTCATCAATGATTTTAGTGGTAAAAGTGAATATTGTTTTTAAATATTTTATGTTCGAGCTATTATATTTGTAGAGTATATACATATTGTCAATAGATTAATAAAATTTTAAATAGATATTATCTTATAAACACTTTAAACAATTAAAAGTATTATTTTATATATCAAATACTTGATTCTTTCATCTGTTTCGAAGGGGTTTAACTATTTAAGCTTGTATTTTTGTGTGTAAATATATAATATATTACAAATTTAGCAAAATGAGGGAGGAAGAGCTATTATTATTTTGTAAATACAAAATTTCGAAAGATGAATCATCATCAAATTTTGAGAAATATTTTCCGTAAAGGCAATGCCGCCGAATAGCGGCGAAAGTAGAGCTAAAAATAACTCAATGGTCCCATATACCATGCATTTCCCCTTTTTTTTTAAAAAAAACTATATTTTTATTTAATTATTATGAATAGTTTTGAAAGTTATGAATATAATCCTTTTGGGATACGAAAATTGAAGTTTCCAATAAGCCCTATAATCATACTACTCTTTCTTGTTAATGTGGCATAGATTAATGATTTAATCAAGTGAGTTATAATCATAAATAAATAATAGAGAGAACTTAGTGAAATTAAATTAAAATAATAAAAATTAATATAATAACTTGGTTTTAATCATTATATATATAACATAATAAAAGAGTATAGAAAACTAGAAGTTAGGTGGCAAAAGACCTCAACTGAGTCATAAAAACTGCGTCGTAATTGTACTTCGGATAGGCTTGGAATCAGGCTTTGACATAAATTTAATGTGTTAGAACCTCACGATCATTTAAATTAGGTTGACCGAACACCTTAACTTACCATTTATTTGATATGCGTTTTTCCAAAGATTAATCAGATTCAGGAGTCGATTACAGTCAGGGAAGGATTAGCACCCTGTACTGACCTTTCGGTACCAATTTAATTTCTCGGTTGTTTTAATTACGAAAATTAAAAATTAAATTAAATTTAAAAGTTCGAATTACTTACCTTTGACGAATTCAAAATTGTCCTAAAAAATATCAAATTAATGTTAGGCAATAAAATAAAATAATAAAAGAAAATAAAAAGAATTAATGTTAGAGTTAAATAAATAGATTTAAAAAAACAATAAGATAAAATTTTGATAAAATTAAATAAATAAAAGAAATACAAGAAAATTTGAATTAAAGGATTATATTATAAGGAAATAAAAAAATTGAGGGTCAAATTGAAGTTAATTGAATGCTGCAAAGAGAAAAATAAAAGTTAGAGGGTTAAATTGCAAAAATATAAAAAAAATATGGACTAAATTGAATTAATTCAAAATTATAGGGCATTTTACAATATGACCAGAATGAATTACGCATCAAACTTGTAGGGATCATGAAAATAATTAAACTATTTGTTATTTACCCTTTGACCCCCTATATAAAGCCCTTTTAACCCAAAATATCATTCATTTCCATCACTTTCTCAAAACCCAAACATTCTTACTCTATTAAATGCTCTCCCTCTCTCCTATCCGGCCAAAGGATGGCTATCACTCCGGCGAAACCCCGCCATCCCAATCGCCACTTCGGCCACCGCCACTGATGGTCGGAAAAATTTTAACTCCACCAAAATGTTTCTTCCAACCTCTTAAACACAAAACTGAAGCTCGATTGCAAGTACCAATTGGCGTAGATCTAAGCTTTAAAGTTTGAACTCTTTCCTTTTTCGACGAACCCCTTTCG